GATGACAGTTGGCTGCCGCAGTGCCTGCACCACCCCGGTGCTCCCCAATGTCAGCCCTACAAGGGTCCCACCAGTGTCACCTGTGTGCCATCACCTTGACACCCCCCTGAACCCCCGCCTTGCTCCCCGTCCCCTACCCAGGACACCACAGGTGACGTTGCTGGGGACCCCCAGCCCCGCGCTGTTGAAAGCTGCCACCTGGACGCAGAATTCGGTCCCGGGGTTCGGGAGGAGGGTTTCCAGGCGGTGGGTGCCTTCGTCCACCGTCCTGTTGATGGGGTGCTGCCAGCCATCGCCCACTGACCAGACCTGGTACGTACCAAGAGGATAGGCCACCTTAGATGAATCCCATTGATGGACCTCCACTGATGAATCCCCCTTGGAGGGACTGCTTTGCACGGACCCCCTTGATTGAACGCCTCTTGGATGAACCCTCTTGGTTGGCCCCCCTTAGACCTATCCCCTAGGTTGAACCACCTTGGATGGACCTTCTTGGTTGGCCCCCCTTAGACCAATCCCCTAGATTGAACCAACTTGGATGGACCTTCTTGGTTGGCCCCCCTTAGACCAATCCCCTAGATTGAACCAACTTGGATGGACCCTCTTTGTTGGCCCCCCTTAGACCAATCCTCTAGGTTGAACCACCTTGGATGGACCCTCTTGGTTGGCCCCCCCTTAGACCAGTCCCCTCCTAACCCCTTGATTGAACCCCCTTTGATGGACCCTCTTGGTTGGCCCCCCCTTAGACCAGTCCCCTAGGTTGAACCATCTTGGATGGACCCCCTTGGGTTAGATCCACTTGAATGACCCCATTCCTTAGCTTGTCCCCTTGGGTGGATCTCCTGGGATGGATTCCCCCCCTTGAATGTATCTCCACCTTGGTTGGCCCGCTTGATGGACCCTCTTCAGATCGCTCTTGGATGGACAGCTTGGATGGACCCCCCCCGCCCTTGGACAGGAACTACTTGGATGGCCACCCTCGGCCAGAAACCCCCCAGCCTGACCGGCCCCATCACCCCAAACCTTGTAGCCTCGGATGATGCCATTGTGGGCCTCAGGAGGAGGTGGTTCCCAGCTCACAACCACGGTGCCGTTCCCCGTCTCAACCTGGCCCACGGTGACATGCTGGGGAGCTGCGCTTGGTGCTGCTGAGACAGAGGTGCTGAGACCCCTGGGACCCCCAGCCGACCTCCCCGCTTTCGTCTGGCCATCCCTGGGGACACCCAACGCACCTTCCTCGGGTATCCAGAGGTGCCTGCTGTTGCTGTCCAAGCCCTGGGTCCCTCCAGCGTAGGGTCGGACCTTGAACTCGTACTTGTAGCCTCTGCGGAGCGCGTGGATGATGGTGCTGAGCTCCCTGCCCGCGTCGTGTTGGACCCAGGAGGTGCTGGCAGGGAGCAGGCAGCGGTACAGCACCACGTAGCCCTCAGGCGCCGACGCTGGAATCAACATCTGGAGGAGATGGGAAGGGTATGAAGCATGGTGGGATGCCAAGGGGCTGTGGGGATGGAGCTCCAGCCTCATCCCTGGGTCCCATGCCACCCTTCCGGTGGGGACATCCCAGCATCACACCAACCCTCCAGCGGAGCCGGACAGCAGCAGTGGGCAGCGCGGTGCCGTTGTCCAGGTGCAGCCTCATGGTCAGCAGGTCCCATGGGGCAGCCTGCTCCCGGCCCGTCGGCACCGGTGTGGGGGGCAGAGGAAGGCTAACGGCAGCGCCAGGCAGGAGCAAGGTCCCCCGGCACCTGCCCAGGCACCCACCTCATATACGCATGCCTGGAGACCCTGATGTCTTCTTGGGTGGACCTACTCAAATGGACCCCCTGGATGGACCCTTCTTAGATAGACCCTCTTGGACAGACACCCTTTGATGGATCTGTCTTGGATGGACCCATCGTGGATGAACGCCCTTTGATGGACCCCTGGATAGATCCCTATTGATGCATCCCTCTTAGACGGACCCTTTGCATCCATCTTGTTCAATCCCCCTTTAATGGACCCCCCACCTTGGACAGACCCCCTTAAATGGATCCTCTTGGAGGAACCTCCTTGGATGGATTCCATTTAGCTGGACTCTCTTGATGGATCCCCATCTGGATGCATCCTCTTGGATGGATCCCTTTAATTAGATATGCCTGGATGGACCCATTGGATGGATGCTTTTAGATGGACCTCCTGAGATAGACCCCCTTTTGGAAGTACCCCCTTTGCTGGACCCTCTTTGAATGGACCCCCTTAGATGACTCAGTTGGGTGCACTTTTTTTTGATGGACCCCCTTGGACCACCTCCTTAGATGGACCCCTCTTGGATGGACCCCCCTTGGATAGACTCCCCATGGATGACCTGCATGAATGAACCCCCTTGGACCGACCCCCCATAGATGACCTCTGTGCGTGGACCCCTCTTGGATAGACTCCCCATGGATGACCTCTGTGGATGGACTCCCCTTGGATAGACTCCCCATGGATGACCTTCATGTGTGGACTCCCCTTGGATAGACTCCCCATGGATGACCTCCATGGATGGACCCCCTTGGATAGAATAGACTCCCCATGGATGACCTCCATGGATGGACCCCCTTGATAGACTCCCCATGGATGATCTCCTTGGATGACCTCCTTGGATGAGCCCCATTAGATGGACCCTGTTGGATGGCTCCCCTTGCATGGCCCCCCCGATGGCCCTGGGTGCCTCCGGCAGTGGAGGCCACAGAGGGCCCACCACTGACCCTCCACGTGGAGCCGGGCAGTGGCGGGGGCCGGC